TTGGTAGAACACACCTGCCACAGCTTCCAGACTCTCTCTGCCTCATTGTCCTAAGCAAAACAAACAACCAAACAAAAACCAAAAAACCTTAAATTAAAATGATTTAACTTCTGTCACCAATCCATTAACAACATAACAATCTACAAAAATTCATATATAACAACAGCTATATTGCTAAGCATGGGCATTATTACAAACTACCCCCACGAACTTTAAAGCACTGTCCATTGAATGGAAGCATCTCCTTGAAGTTCTTTCTTCTTGGTCCATCTTATCCAGAGTCTACGTGTCTAAGGTGTCTTCCTCCATCCTACTCTCTTGAGCCGCCTGATCACCACTGCTGCTTCCTAGTCCCCTGACTGAGGCATCTTTCTTTTCCCCTTAGTTAGGTTTTTTTTCCCTTTTTAAAATTTAAACAAGCTTGTTTTACATGTCAGTCCCAGTTCCCTCTTCCTCCCCCCTTCCTGTCCCCCCTCCCACCGATCCCCCTTCCCAACCCCTTTCTGCTCCCCAGGGAGGGTGAGGCCTTCCATGGGGGAATCTTCAAAGTCTGTCATATCATTTGGAGTAGGGCCTAGACCCTCCCTCGTGAGTCTAGGCTGAGAGAGTATCTCTCTAGGTGGAGTGTCCTCCCAAAGTCCATTGTATACTAGGGATAAATACTAATCCACTACTAGAGACCCCATAGATTGCTCAGGCTTCCTAACTGACACCCCCTGAAGGTCTGGGTCAGTCCTATGCTGGTTTCCCAGCCATCAGTCTGGGGTCCATGAGCTCCCCCTTGTTCAGGTCAGCTTTTTTGTGGGTTTCTTCAGTCTGGTCTTGACCCCTTTGTTCATCACTCCTCCCTCTCTGCTACTGGATTCCAGGAGTTCAGCTCAGTGTTTAGCTGTGGGTGTCTGTTTCTGCTTCCATCAGCTACTGGATGAAGGCTCTAGGATGGCATATAAGGTAGTCATCAATCTCATTATTGGACAATGGCATTTAAGGTAACCTCTTGACTATTTCTTAGATTGTTAGTTGGGGTCATCCTTGTAGGTCTCTGGACATTTCCCTAGTGCCAGATTTCTCTTTAAACCTATAATGGCTCCCTGAGGGATCTTTCTTAAACTCTAAAATACATGTTATACCATTTAAAGTCATCAACTGCAAAGCTCTTATTTTGATTTTTAGGTATGTAGTCTGTCTAAATGTATTTTTTTTTTTGAGACAGGGTTTCTCTGCAGCTTTGGAGCCTATCCTGGCACTCACTCTGGAGACCAGGCTGGCCTCGAACTCAGAGATCCACCTGCCTCTGCCTCCCGAGTGCTGGGATTAAAGGCGTTCGCCACCAACATCTGGCCTAAATGTGTAATTCTTAAAAGTCTCTTCCTTATCCTTTGTGGTGGGTGTGTGTGGGTGTGTGTGTGTGGGTGGATGTGCGTGCGCGCGCGAGTGTGTTTGTGCACGAGTGCACATCTGTGTGATATATGTACACGCTCCAGATTGTGGAGTGTGTGCATGTATTGGTGAGGGTGTGCACGCACATGGGTGTGTGTGAGAAGGCCAGAGGTTAGCTTTGAGTGTCTTCCTCAGTTGTTCTCCACTTTCTATTTTTTTTTTAAGTCTGCCACTGAACCTGGAGCTCATCAATACTCACTGGTTGGCCAATGAGTTCTGGGGCTTCACCTGACGCCACTCACTTGTTGCTAAGGTTTTGGTGAATACCCAAACTGCCCCTGCTCCCGCCTGTCTCCTGCCTTATTCTTCACCACCTTTCTCCTTTGTTCCATTACCTGTTCAGTAACACCCGGGAGCATCTCTTCCCTTCTGAGCTTCCCAGAATTGTGTAAAATGTGTTCATTTTTCCATTTTGGGGCCTTCACAGAATTTTGTAAGATGTGTTCATGCTTTGTTCAAGCTGAAGAAGCTGAACAGGATTGGGTAGTCTGCCCTGATAGACTGGAGTACTGAGCAGCAAATGGAAAATAGATATTTGCAAACAGAGAAACCCAGGCAAGTGGCTTGCAGGGAGTGCACTGCAGGCAGACAAATCAATGACAGACCCCACTGCTCCCTGGGCTAGAAATGGACAGTTTTTCTTTTTGGGCACAAGGTGGCAGACTGCATCTATTTTTCTCATTTCTCTGAAGGCAGCTAGGAGAGGCTGAAATTGTCTGTTTTGGAGACCGATGTTTATGTTTAAATGAAGATGGCCCAGCTGAAACATGAGGGTAGATAAAGCACAGCCTGTCTGACTGCAGAGGGTCCTGTGAGCTTCTACAGTTCTGGATCTGTGCCAGGGCCTCCATGTGAGCATTCACGGCGGTACCTTGTCGTGGTGAAGTCTTCCTCCTTTCACATATAAAGAAGCAGATGTGTGTGTGTGTGTGTGTGTGTGTGTGTGTGTGTGTGTGTGTGTGCAGGGAGATGACAGATAGATAGATAGATAGATAGATAGATAGATATAGATATAGATATAGATACAGATATAGATAGATATAGATATAGATCCCTCACCAGTGTCTTGAAGGGCTATCCATGAGTGCTCAAACATGAAGACAAGGAACAATCTAACAAGGGAACTGAAGTGTGCAACTGTCTCCCTAGATAACAGACAAGACAATGGCCTTTCTAGTCCCCACATGTAAAGACCTAAGGCATTTGCTTTCTTATCTACTTATGGTTCTCTCTCACCATCTCAAAGAGTTTCCATGTTCAGGCCATTCCTGTGTAAAAGCTACTGGGTTGTTTTCTACTTTTTTATTTACAGTTTAATTGCAGTTATAATTTCTCTACTTGATTGCTTTCAGTGTGCTTTTTTTTGGTCAAAATTATTTTTTTAAAAAAAAACAAGACTACCAGGAATCAAAACACATATTGGACAAAGAGCACACTGGTCAGGTTGTCTGTTGTTTGGGAGTCTTTCAGAGGACAGGAGAAATAATGCCCACATTTCCTTCTATAGCTTCCATTCCTCCTTTCCTCCCCTGGGTATTTGTCATGTCGGAGGGTGTTGAGAAAGGAGAAATGTATTAGTAATGAATTCAGAGCAGGTGTCGGTAGGTAGCAGCCATACATTGACGCCCGGCATAAGGAGAGCTAGTGTTCTGGCAGACAAGGATGTTTGAAGCAAGAGGTTGATGGGGCTGACTCCATGGCCTTTCTCTTCGTATTCTGCCTCCCCCCTCCCCACACCCCACCCCTGTGGCCACACACTGGTGCATGCACATACAGACAAGCATGCTCATGCTAAGCCAAGAAGGCCTGAGAAAAGAGAAACAGCACCAGCTGGATACGTCTCTCTTGCCAGGAGACAAAACCTTTCCCCACCAGGAGACATAGGTCCCCTCTCCAGACCTGCACCACAAGACCATCGTGGCCAGGAGACCAAGAGAAGGAGAAAGACAGAGCTGGGAATGCTTTGGGAGTGGTCACCGCATGGAACCTGGTGAACAGGATCCTCATCTGACCCTCTCGTATGTGTTGCTCTTTCTCCATCTCCCATGGCACTTCCTCCATCCTATTTTCCTCTCTAGATGAAGACAAAACCAGCAAAAGTGGTCACCGTGAGTCTCATTTCTCACTACAGGACATTGTAAATGCACAGGAGAGGGAAGGGCACAGACGGCCACCCCAAAACAGATGCCCACAGGAGCAGAGTGAGAGCAGGGAAGCGTTCTGGCCTTGCCCAGGGGATTCCTTCCACACACCTTACCTCTCTGCCAGAGGCCAATTAACCTTGTTAGCTCTTCATTCTTCCACTGGTGCCAGCAGCCTCCTAGAGGCCATTTAACTACAGACACTCACAGAAAAAGCACATTTATTTTCATTCTGAGGAGGAAACAATGCGTCAAGGCACACGTGGCGTTCACAGACCATTTCAAGGTGTCACCTACCCAAATGTTACCTACTAGATAACATTTTTAATGGAAATTTTTATTTAAAAACAGGGTCAGAACTTTGAGTAGAAATACTTCTTATGACCACTAGAACATCACAATGTCCTGGAGGGGACCAGGTTTGTGAGCTTGCTCAGTTCCTGCTGCTTCCTCTCTTCCTCCAGGAGCAGAGGACTAGTCCTCCAAATTCCTGAGGACTAGTCACCACCGTCACTCTCACTTGAGCTGCCACTGGACGACTCACTGCTGTCTCTTCTGTTGTGGGTGCTGAAGCGTCTGTAGGCATGGGACCTTCGAGAAGGCCAGGCACCTCCTATCCATTGTGACATCCCCCCTTTATTCCTTGTAGAATTACTTTGTCCATGGAGTACATAATGGTGTCTTCTGCTGTTTGTCATTACACTCCCCTCATGACTGGAATCTCCTTTGCTTTTAGCCTCATTACCTAGACTGTGAGAAGGAAGAACCAGGCCCTGGCTTTTGCCTTTATCTGGGAATCTTCGTTTTTCAGTCAGGGTCACTTGGTTCCTATAGGATTCTTCTGTGTCTGTCCTAGGACTACCTTTGCTGCGCTTAGGAATCTCATTGTAACTGGCGCTCCCCGAATTATCACTGCTGCCCCCTTTTAGCTTTTCTCTGGAGGGCACTTGTGGATAATGAAATTCTACTTTCCCTTGATGGGCATTTTGGCTGCCAGCATCAATTCTGTTTCCTTCCTTTCCAGGGAGTTCCCTAAAATTAGTACTGCCTGTGATGTCATTGCTGCCCTCCACAAGACTCACACCCACGGCACCTGCCCGTTGTGCGGTTTTGTCTCTGGTTGCAACAGCATCGCCGCCATGTCTTTCTCTCTCGGGGATCTCATTAGAACCCAGTCCACTCGTGTGGGGGTTAACAATCTCAGCTTTGTCAGAGCCGGAGAGGCCCATATGACTAGCTGAGCCTTCTAGACCAGGCCTAACAGCACCTCCTTTGCCAGGAAGATACTTGAAATGTTGCCCGTCCCCACTGAAAGGAGGAACATTGTTATCCCCCCTCACCTGAGTGTCTGGGGAACCACTGCCTTCAAAGTCACTAGGAATCTTTCTGATTTGGGGGAGATGCGTTAGGTAGTGAGTGCTTCGTCGGATCTGATGGGTACCTTTGCTTTTTGCTGGGCTGTTCTGGGATGGTAGATGCCTCTCTTGATTCCCTGTGTGTTTTAAGTGGTCTTTAGCATCTCTAACATCTGCTGGAATCATGCTTGGAACAGTCTTAGGTTTCTTCTCTTTGTTTTCATCCCCTGATCGTTCAATCCCAGTCACCGGTCTCTTTATAGGCTGCATAATACTTCTGGCGAGAATGGCATCATGCCTCTCCTGATCAGGTAGGTTACGGAGGATATCCTCTAGATTCTCTGCTCCTTTGTCCCCTGAGGGCTCAGGATACACAGATGCTGTTAAGTTCTCATTGGTGCCGCCTTTGTTGTTAGTGCTGTCCTCTTCAATCAGCATCTGTGAATTTACATTAAGATTTGGATTTACTTCTGCTTTCGTTATTTTCATTGACTTCAAAAGAGACAAGCCTTTCTCTTTTTTCCTGGCTAATGATTTCTTTAGGTGTTAATTTGTGATTTCTGCCTTGGTCAAACTGGTGAAGAGCAATATTGTCACTGCTTTTTTTTCTTTTTTCTGAAGTAAAAAATTTAGCGTAAAGTGATTATTTTATGTTAAATCTTTAAAAACTGATAATTCATAGAAAAAGTGTTTAAAACTTATAATATATTTAATGAAAAGCCTACAAGTCAATGCAGATGGAATGGAGCAAAGCAGGTTTCATGGGAAAAGAAGAATGAAGTAGATTTGATGTCTAGGTTAGATTCAAATAACCAGGAGCAAAATGGAGAGAATATTTTAAGACTAAGTGTCAGAGTCAATATATTTTTGGACACACTTCATGTGTTAGCTTTCCTTGAGCGTGCTAACGTCTTGGTTATGATAATTAAAGATATGAATAGATGAAAGCTCCCATATGGAGAAAGAAAAATCAGCTAGAAGCTTACATCTTTATGAAGTGTAAGGAAAATCATAAAGATGCTAAAGTAGTTCAGGCAAGCAAATGCCATGTTGAGCTGCATCCGATGAGATGACAGATAGAATGGCCAAATGTTTGGAATCTTACTATCTTTAATGTGTGTGAATATTTCACCTGTATATGAGTCTATGAGCCACGTATGTGCCTGATGCCCACAGAGGCCAGAGAGATATCATCAGTACCCTTGAAAGTGGAGTTATAGATGGTTGTGAGTGCCCATGTGAGTGTGGGAAGACAAACCCTGATCCTCTGGGAGAGCAGTAAGTGTTCTTGACTGCTGAAACATCTCTCCAGCTCCCAAAGGCTCTCATTTCTCTCAAATCGGTGCTCACTAAAGTAACGGTGCTACAGAAGGGCTCAGATATCACATCAGCTGCCTTTCCTATTCTGGCTGGGAGAGCTGAGGAGGCATGTGACTTTTTACTACAAAATAAGAAAATACACACTTTTCAAGATTTTTTTTAAAAAAGAATTTTGTTAAATGATGCAATGCAAGCAAAGCATCTATCACAGTGTCTCATCCACCAGGATCTATATCAAATGATGCTAGCTGTCATTCATACGCAGGGCTGTGTGGCACCCTTGATGCAATGCTAGCTTGCTTCCCTACACAATGGCAACAGCAGTCTTCCTCATAGGATGACAACTGTCCTCTCGTGTCTTTATGTTTTATGTAGTGGCAGCTAACTGTAGACTCTTTGCATTCTGAATGTCACTCTTTGGCTATGGGTTCTGCAAGCTTGTGGCCACTGATCACACATTGTCTAAAATGGAATAGAGTTTTGATATCCTCAATCTCTAATTAAGAATACTGAGTGTGTGTGTGTGTGTGTGTGTGTGTGTGTGTGTGTGTGTGTGTGTGTGTGTGTGGTGTTGAGGATGGGGAATGTTTTCATGTCTCAATACCCATGTATGCGTGGATGTTTGAGAATAAGTTGTGAAAGTTTCATCTCTCCCTCCTCCATGTGAGTTCTGGTTGCATTCGGGTTGTGTGGTTTGGTGGCCACATCTGAACCATCTTGCTGTGACCCCTCTGCCTCTGCTTGCTTTAAAATGTATCTTATCAAGTGTTTGGAATTGTGAGACCATTAACTAAGCACACACTTGAACTGCAGCTGAGAATAGTTTTTAGAAGTCCCCTCTAGTCTGGCAGAACTTGTCAGTAGGAAGTCTCCAAAAGTGTCCATTTGTCTTAATTGTAAGATATAATTTGAAATGATTTTACATATGGGAATGATGATACTATTATCACTAACTTTTATAGGTCCAGTCTTATTTGGGAAAAAAAGGTAAGATTTTTATTATGAGAACAAAAGGATCCATAGTGATTTACTTCTGAATAAAAAACATTCTAAATACTGAGTTTAAGCCAGTGAATCCCAGAAAATTTGCCTTGGGAATTTATGTTTATTTACTCATTTCTGAAGAGACATTTCAAGCTAAACAGATGGGTTAGAAAAATCAGTATAGTTTATTAAATTAAAATTTAATTTTAAAAATTCTTAATTTTTTTCCTGCCAGTCTTAGAGAAAATTTTGTTCCATTTTTTTTGGTGTTTCTATTAGCTTCCCGCCCCTCCTCTGTATTCTTACATGCTTACAAGTAACTGGTGTGCATCTAATTAGAAGAGTAAATAAAACTGTTTTGTGTAGAAAAGCATGGGAGGACATTTTAACTTTGGTATAAGACAGTCAACCATTTGTCTGAGAAAATATTTTAAAATACAAAATCCTTTTTGTTCTTCGTGTGCTCAGGGAAGTGATTTCCGTCCATTTGGGTTCATGGCAGGAATGAGTCAGCTGTCTGTCTGTCTTCTCCTTCCTTCCGGGCCTTACTTCATGCCATTCTTTTATTAGGGAACAGCCTGCCCACTCCCATCTGTCTTCTCAAACTTTATTGCTCCCCCACAACCGGGTTCAGAGTTTCCTTTGCGTAGCTCTTTCTGAACACCAGCCCAGAACTGATTTCTTTCTACTTCCAGCCCCAAAGGTATGTTTTTCCCCTTGGTGCCACTCACATGGCACTTTCCACAACCTGTTTTGGGTTCTTGGTGTCTCTTCTCTATCTTTAAGTTCTGAGAGGGGACTTCATTTCTCCAGTTGTTTCTGTTAGTATTGTATCTCACACGCCAGGAAGCACTAAATAGAAATGTCAACCCAGAACCAAAATTAACTGATTTCAATAGACAGATAGATCAATACAGCCTTAGAGATGGCTATATGAAGAATATCTAGCTGAGGAAGACAAAATTCTCACTTCTGGGGGAAATGAAGCTAGACTTAGGAAAGTAAATAGCTGTTTAGTTGGAGGCATTTAAAGCTGTTTGTGGTTCTTTGGGCAATGATTCTGCAAGAAGCCAATGAGTGAAATAATTATTGTCATCCCAGCGACAAGGACCTCATCTTCCTCTTTGATGAGACTGGACATGGATGAAGTCATCTATGGAATGAGTTTAAGATACAGAGATGTGTGTCACTTTTGAGTGCAGGACGGCCTGTCATAGTAACTTCCTTCCTCTGGAAGTCTATACTGTTCCAGTATATGGTAGAATACCTCCTCATGAGAATCGGTGTTATCAAGGCACAGCAAAATGACAATTTCAGGCCCCTGAGGTCCACCAAGGCCACACTTGCAGAAGTAGGTCCTAAATCAGAGCATGGCTTGGGCCAAAACATTGGATGGGGGTAAGGAGAGTACTGGAAGGCAGAGTTGCATAGCACGATGACTTAGAACCTGGGGGTTTGGAGGAGGGAGGAAAGGCAACATCCATGGCTGGAAATGTCAGAGCACTTTGTCCCTGCAGAGTCTCCTTGCTAGTTCAGACTGTCACATGTGAGGGGCCTTTACTAAGCCACTCACCTTTATGCTGCTTTCAAAGTAGACATATTTTTCATGGTGATGCCTTATATATGATGCAAAAACCTACACCATTATGTTAAGAGGTTTTTAATCTCAAGAGATTTTCTGGATTTTTTCCTCATACTACATGATATTGTTTAACTTGAGAGGTCTAATTTTGCTTCTGACAATTGGTAGTACCTTTTATAACCACAGGAGGGCAAGTGTTGGCCACTCCAGAAGACAACTACCACTTGGGCTCCCTTTTGTATAAATCTTGAAATAAATTTTTCTTGCATGTCACTGTCAATTGTTTGTCATACCCCAGTGTATCAATCTTACTACTATATTTTAGTAGAATTTCAACATGAGTAAATACTTCCAGAATAGAGTGGAGAGGACATTAGAAGCAAGACAGGTTTTACTATGCTGATGGCAAGGTCTGGCTGGCAAATGCCTCATGAATGCTCTGGTTTTTAAGTTTGCCATTCAGACTTTGTAATTTTCAGCTGAGAGTTTCAGAACATAGAACTGGGATTGGCAGGACAAGCCATGCTAGAAATGAGCTGTAATTTGATAACATGCAAATCTGATAGTATTTGCTTAACTTTCTTGATACATATGGGAAACGAATAGCATGAGGGCCCAGTTCTCTGTTGAAGCCAGTTAACCAGCTTCCCGCTCCTTTCTTTGGTTTGCTTTCATATGCAGCTCACACAGAGAATCGCGTTTACTAATAACAAAGTCCCAGAACTCTTACCTATCCCTCTGAAGGTTGTGTAGTAAACCACTGTTCCATTTGAAGGTTGCAATCACACTGAAAAGAAGCCATCGATATGTGGAAATTTTTAATCATCTGTTGTAGGAATTATAATGAACTAGAATGTGTCACCATTCTGCTGGACACTGTGTGCTTCTAGTCTAAGCACCCAAGAATATTTTGGTAGTTAAAATGTTCCCTAGTAGGCTTTTATTCTTTACAAAGCTAAAATAGTTATTTGAGAGGAATAATTCTGTTTGCCCTCTGTTCTTCTGCATAGCCTTGCCTAGTTTTCACAGTCTGTGGTTGAAATTCTGCAAGGAAACAAGGGACTCAGTTTCACCAAACAGAATATTCTTTCATTCATTTCTTCAAACAACAATTATTTCATTTTTTTCTTTCACTGGATTATACTAATGTGGAAAATCATTCTGACTGAAAAGAGGGTTGGACCCACTTCTCCTTAAATATTTGTTAGGAAAGAAAAACATTGCTTTCCTCCCCACTAGGTGGCAGTGCCGTCTGTACCACAGAATCCGATTCCAGCATGAATCCCATGTTCCCATGACATGTTCCCATGTGTTCCCATGACATGGGTGGGGAGAGGCAGGCATGGTGATCCAGTAGGGGAGTAATGGCCATTGAAGTTCACAGCAAAGAAGCCTTCATTAGTTAGGTGTAAGTGGGGTAACTCCGAGTTCAGAATGTGTGGTGATAGTGTAAGCCAGCAGCTGTGATGTGATGTGATGTGGTGGTGTCGAAGATGCACAGCACCCACCACAGTTCTGCATGGAAGGTGCAGTGATGCCCAGTCACCTAAGCAGTCTGAGGACCCCCTCGTCCACCTGTCCTACTTACCTAGAGAGTGCTTTTCCTAAACAACACCCAAAGGCTTGGCATTTTGTTTATGTGGCTCTACTCTAATTGATAAAATCTTCACAGCAATGTAAACTCAAGTGGTGAAAGTGTCCCATTATTTGGGCTACTATTCCATTTCATTCTAGAAACAAACAATTGCTTTGTCATTAACATCTTATATTTCTAAGACACAATATATTTGCAGAGGATTTCAGTTTGCAAAGGACTGTTGCATAAAAATTTCACTTGAGTGCCTTAATAGCCACGTGACTTGAGCAATAGAAAGAGAGTGCCCACACAACACAGCTGGTGATGGAGAAGGAGGGAGATGTTCCACCCCCAATCTTGTCTTCCAAGATCCCAAGACTGAGGTAATAAAAAAACATACATGGACCCCCTCTGAGAAGGGGAAAGGGAAAAGATCTGAGTAAATTGGGAACACAGGGGAGAGAGGAGAGAGATATGAGAAAGAGGAGGGGAGAAGGGAAGGGATCAGGGAGGGAGAAGGGAGGAGAACATGAGGGATTAGGAAGCTCAAGTTTGGGGAAGAACAGAGAAGAAGAGCAAAGAAAGAGATACCTTAATAGAGAGAGCTGTTATAGATTTTAAGAGAAATCTGGCACTAGGAAAATGTCCAGGAATCCACAAGGAAAACCCCAACTAAGAATCTAAGCAATAGTGGAACAGCTATGTTAAATGTCCTTCCCCTAAAATGAGATTGATGACTACCTTATATGCCATCCTAGAGCCTTCATCCAGTAGTCAATGGAAGCAGAAGCAGACACCCACAGCTAAGCACTGAGCTGAACTCCTAGAATCCAGTTGTAGAAAGGGAGGAGCGGTGAGTAAAGGGGTCAAGACCATGCTGGGAAACTCACAGAAACAGCTGACCTGAGCAAGTGGGAGCTCATGGATCCCAGTCTGACAGCAGGGGAACCAGCATAGGACCCAACCAGTGCCCTGAATGTGGGTGTCAGTTGGTGGGCTTGGGCAGACTATGGGACCTCTGGCAGTAGGACCAGTATTTATCCCTAGTACACAAATGGACTTTGGGAGCCCATTCCCTATGGAGGGACACCTTGCTCAGCCTAGATACATGCAGGGAGGGCCTTGTTCCTGCCCCAAATGATGTGACAAAGTTTGATGATCCCCCATGGGAGGCCTCACCCTCCCTGGGAGCAGATGGGGGGGGTGGGATGAGGGTTGGTGACGGAATGGGTGGACAGGAGGGAGAGGGAACTAGGATTGGCATGTAAAATAAGATTGTTTTTAATTTAAATTTAAATTAATCAAAAATTAGAGTAGCTTTATTTGAAAGAATATTTACTAATATGGGATATGCTCCTGAAGTTTATGTCAAATTTTCAAAATGTATTTATAATGTTTTCTTATTGCATCTATTTCTTATTGTTAGTTTTTCCCTGATTCTGTGACAACAAACTTAAACTGTTACCTCATTTTTAGTAATATCAAAATTAGCTATAGGAAGAAGAATATAGAAATAACATGGATGGCTAGGTGTAAAGATGGTGTATATATGATATATATGGTAGCATATATTATATATGATAGCATATATGTGATATATATGATAGCATAGATATTTGATAGCATGAGTGTCTTCTAACAGAGCCCGAATGCACATTTATGTTTGTGTTAAAACATATACTTGCTGGGGTACATTAACCCACTGTATTTCCTGATCCATCATGACTTGCATGCATCAAAGCCTCCCACACTGAATTGCATACAATGGATATTAGTTGAATTTCACTGCTTGATCTTCCCCTTCTATTTTCTCATGCTTTAAGACTGCTTGAATTTGGGTTATAACTATAACACATGCACATGACTTACTATATGCTCATTTTTATACCAAAAATCTATGACCAAATAATTGAGGTAATTGTTAAAATGGAATGTGTATGTCTGTGAGAAAAGATCATACTATAATCGACAATTCCCAATTTTGTCCCTGTTCCCCTACTAAGACTCTTTAATTTGCAATCTGCTGGCCTCCCTACACCTCTGACACCCTCATGGCAGTTGCCTTGAACTTAACCGTAGCCCTGTAATAGATATGACATCGTCTGCCCCAAGGAGGAAAATGGGCAGCCTCTTTTGACTGGCGGTCACTGGATTTATATAGGCCAATCACTTTACTAGAAGCTGGTGAGAAAGGACACTTCAGCCGTTCCCTGGAATGTGCGGCTCAAAATAACTCGGCCTCGGTTGGACTGAAGTAGGTCAGCAAGACCCACTTGACCACTGCCCTGCTTCAGTGCAGGCCTGTATGGTTCTGACTGACCCTATGTGGATCAGGTGGGACCCACTGATGAGTCTGCATAGCCCTCACTGCAGTGTAAGGTTTGCGCGTGAAGCGGGTAGTGTGATCCCGTCATTTCTGCTCTTTCACCCTATGGTTCATCCTGTCAGTTTGGTTACCCAACTGCTCGCCCACTTGCTCCCCACCTATATTTAAGCTTGGTCAGCAGTGGAATGAGTACTTGTTTCCGTAGTTACTCAACCTCGGAAGTTACTCTGAGAGCTCGGATGCTGCTAAGACGTTATCTAATTTGCCGGGTGTCTGAATCGCAGAAAAAGTCTGTAGTGCTCAACTTTGTTCCAGGATCATTTGGTCACATCCTAAGTGCTCATCCGGATGAGTCAGAAGAAGAGAAGATATGTGAGGCAATAGAAGCTTGATTTAGGTTAAGTTTATGGGTATCAGTTCCATTTTAGCCTTGCCAAAGAAGGGAACATCTTTGACAGGCTCCCACTGTGTAAGATACTAGCAGAATACACAGATAGTCTAGTTTCCCCCCACTGCCAGATAAAATGTATTTATCTATCTTTACACATTCGTGTTAAATTCCTCAAGGTTATGGTAAAATATTGCAAGGTTCTTTTGATACATTATGGTTCCAGTCTTAAGAGTATAACTCATTAATCTGGGCTGACTTGGAATGCTGTGACTGGGTACTAGTTTTCTCTGAGATTCCTGAAAACACAACATGGTATATTGTCCCACAGTTTGCATCCTATAGTAGCAGGCTTCTAACCAACACTGCTTGAAAACTAGACGCTGTGGCTGGGTACTAGTTTTCTCCGAGATTCCTGAAAACACAACATGGTATACTGTCCCACAATTTGCATCCTATAGTAGCAGGCTTCTAACCAACACTGCTTGAAAACTAGATAAAGAAAGAGTTTATGCAACACATAAATGAATTTGTAAATGCTTACTGGTGATGCCCAGGTCACACTGAAAAGCAACAGTCCAACACACATGGCCACAGCCTGCATCATCTTCACAAGTCTCCCTGAAAAAGTAACAAAACCTCTCTTAGCAATGACAGTTAGGAGCTGCAGACATGAATGCACACGTGTGCAATGTCTTTCCCCCAGCAGTTCATTTCCTTTTAATATATAGATTACATATCTTATATATAATTATACCTGTAAAATTAGCATCTATACAAACATAGGTAGTTTGCACAAATAGTTCAAAGTTATGGGTTAATATTTAAATATATTTTCCAAGTCTGATTATTATCATGTAAACAAAAATCACTGACTATAATTAATCTGGTAATTAATAGAAATTAATTTTATAGACATAATTATTTGCTGTATTGGAAACATGGCATTTTCTCTATATGCTTAGAAAATTACCATTAAATGCTTGTATAATTGAAAGTAACAGGCAACATATCAGCTCATACTGAATCATTAAGTATGTCAAGATGGCAGATACAAAGGTGAGGAATGGAATCTTAGCAATTCCAGGCTAGGACCCCAGTGTACATCTTCATACTCATAGCCATATGTCTGAATTAGTCACTATGTAGGGGCCAGAGAGAGAAACCACTGGAGCAATTTTTACTGTAAGCAAAAGCATTTGCTAAATATTAAAATTAGCTAAATATTATTCTAAGAATTTTACATGTGTTTATTTATTTGAGTCCCACAACAAAATTATGAGCTAAGTGGCTTTACTAGTTTTATAGACTGGAAGCAGACTCAGAAATGTCATGTAACATGCCCCATAATTCATGAATATTAATGAACACAACTAGGGTTGGTTTTCTGGCAAAGTAGCTACAGAACTGGTGCTCCTAACCAAGACTCTATGCCACCTCAATTAAAATTCCATCTTCCATCTAATTTTATAAAGGCTACATGCAATCAACTTAAAGAAGACCTTTTTTATATAAAGTTCAATAGAGTAATCTTTGGAACACTAGTGTTTATTTTATGGAGTAAAGCACACATGTATAGTGTGATGGATGTTTCACTAGGATCTAGTGAGCTCAGCTAACTCAAGGAGGCATTACACTGAAAAATTGCCAGCATAGCTCTGGACAGCAATCTGTTGGTCTTCATGAATATTAAATATTTTACTGACACATAAACATATAGCAAGCAATATAAAAATAATAATAATGTTATTTGTTGCACAAAAATACTTTTATGGGAAAGTAATTTAAATGTTCCTACAACATTTAAACATTTCATAGTAAAAACTTGAACTCAGCAAAATAAAACAACTGAGATACAACATAAAAATCCTAGTTTGTGGTCTTCTAACTTAATCTTAAGGATCTGCATTCAAGCTAGAATTTTGGCTTCTAAGTATTGTAGATAAGGACAATCTATGCATTTATCAAATAGCTCAATGCTGCTGGATACATCAGTGCAGTGTTTGCAAACAGAAGTACAGCTGACTTCTCCTGTGTCTGGTTCATCAAATGGTGCAGCTCCCAGTTACTATGGGTCTTGATAATAATGATAGCCCATAGGCCAATATGCTGCCAAGCCATGGAGTTTAGTTAATGATCTCTAGCACTCTATCATATAGAACAAAGCACTGCATTTAGACAATTAAGCTCAGCTGAGAAGAGTTCTAATTGCACTTATTTCCAATTAACCAGACCAGTATGGTGAGGAAACTAAAAACTTAGGCAAGCACTTTCAATATAAAGCAGTTCCCTGTGAGGAGCAGTTAAGAGACAAATTACCTGGTGTCATTGACCTTTGGCAAAGCTCAGCTTCTTTGGGCTTAGCAGTCCCTGAGCATTCGCTGATATTTAAAGTTTGTTAGAGCCCCCAGTGTCCAATCAGCACCAGCGAGGAGTCTGTCACAAGTGCCCACGGATGGCCACAGGGGGTAAGGTAATTTTAATCTAAAAATGTTTTGTGGTTGAAAGCTGCTATCAAATGTTCCAGAGAGTAAAATAAACAGAAAATTATAAATATCTCACTTTGGCCATTATGCTGCCAGATAATTAGAATTGATTTCAGAACTATTAACTAGGACTGGGTAGATGGCTTGCATATTTATAAATATAAAATATTTGTAAACCAACAGATTTATAAATGTAGGATATTTTTATTAAGTAAATTTATAGTCTTCATTGTGTCTGAATAAGAGTCAGAAACAGTTAACAACAATGTTTTTAGTTCCTGCTCTATAGCAGACATAGGAGAAGCCTTGGTGAATGAAACAGAAAATAATCCTGTCTCGTGGGGCAATGAAGAAAACAGACAATGAACTGTATTGTATTAGACGGTGACTCAGATAAAGTTCAAGGGCAAGATTTCAAGTACAAGTAAGGACTCGGGGCTGAAATTTGACATAGAGAATCCTCGGAGGACCTCACTGAAAATCTGACTTTTGAGTAGGCTTTGATATGGCTTAAATGTGTTTATTGCTCCAAAATCATATTGTGGAACTAAAACTCCCATGTGATAGTTTAGAGCTTTTAGGATCTAAGTTATCAGGTGAGAACCTTCGTGAGTGAGATTAATCGCTTTAGAAAGACAAGAGGAAACAACCTTGACCTTCTCTCATTCCTCCTGTCTGCCATGCCTGGCTTTCATCGCCCCTCACCACCACACCCAGAGGAGGAAGTGACAAGACGCCATGTTGGAATGTGGAACAATTATCTTCCAGCCAATAGTGAACCTTCCAGCATCTTTATCTTAAATTTCCCAACCTCCAAAGCCACAAGAAAACAAAACAGTGAGATTTCAACTTTTGTTCTCTTTCCATTACCAAGTCTGAGGTATTCTGTTGTAGTAGCATAAACAGACCAAGGCAGACTGGTAGCCACATGACTTTGCATAGGAGAACATTCCAGACAAAAGTTCTAGAAGAGCCAGCTCCAGTAATAGGGGCCTGCAGGCTTATTCCAGAAGCCACTTAGCTGGAGAGACTGAGCAAGGGAAACAGCAGCAAATAAAATGAGACAGGAATTAGATGGCAGAGGACCAGGGACCTGCAGGTCCATGCACTTTGCCCTAGGAGGTAAAGCTCCTACAGGATTGGTATGGAGCTGTGACATACAGGGCTTGCCGACTCTAAATACGGCCTCAGATTCAGTCTCACCTCTACTAAATAGAAATAGACAAAAAGTAATGAATTGATTAATTCAATTTAATTACAAGCTGAGAACGCTGATGAAGGTTTTGAGCAGAGCTGAGATTGAAGGCATGAAGTCAGGAGAGAATAGAGAAGGCAGCCTAGAGTTCATGCAACGAACTAAGCAAAGGCCAATGGGTCTCCAGGCAGGCAGGGGTAGAGGAATGAGGAAAGGTCATATTCAGCATGTTTTCACATGAAAGCCAATAGGACTGCGGCAGCCTAGAGTTCATGCAACTAACTAAGCAAAGGCTAATGGGTCTCCAGGCAGGCAGGGGTAGAGGAGTGAGGAAAGGTCATATTCAGCATGTTTTCACATGAAAGCCAATAGGACTGGACTGTACCAGGAGAAGCTGGCATCTGGGGAAGCTGGCACCTGGGGAAGCTGGCACCTGGGAAGCTCACACCAGGAGACTCAGGTGACAGAATGAACCCAGGATTTTGCTTTGTAATGGGAAAATGGAAGTTTCTTTCTTATGATATATCTTTCCACCAAAAACCGCTTAGCCCCACCACTATGTGTGGCTTTACGCCAACTGCCCGCTGGAGTTAGGGCCCAAATTACTACACAGAAAGTTGTATTAGGTTTAAGTGCTGCTTGGCCAATGACTAGGATTCTCATCTGTTAGCTCAGTCTTAATTATCATAAATCTATATATTTTATAAGACTTATCTGATAGAGGATGCCTTTTGTTGGCACCCTCTCTTGCTGGTGGCTCACATCCTGCCAATCGAGGAGGAGAAAGGGAAAAAGGGACACTTCCTGTTTCTTCTTGCTTAAATATGAGTCTCCTTGCTATATCACTTCCTGCCTGGATCACCACTTCTCTCCTACATTTCCCAGAATCCTCTTTGACTCCTAGTCCTGTCTAACCTGCTGTCTCATTGGCCAAACAGTATTTTATTCAATAATCAATAAGATGAACATACACAGTACATTCTCCATCATTTCTTTATATTGAAATGGGAAAATATTCAAAAGATACTTTTGAAAGATATGTTGTGGTTTTAATTTGGATGAAGATTTTTATTAAATGGTTAGGACATTGAGTCCATTCTTCCTTTCCTTGGCAGTAGCAGCTAAAATCAAACTGTAATTCATGTTCGTAATAGTCAGGAAGGTTTTATTTGGTCTAAAAATATAGTAATAACTAGCGGGATGACTCACATTAGGTTTATGTGTAAATCTACCAATAAAAGATTTTGTAAGTTTTTAGACTTATACTTTATAATAAGGGCTACTTATGCAAAAATACAGCTTTATAATCAATTACAAATGACATGTATTAATTTTAAGTACAAATATCTGATTTCCCCAAACTCAAATAGGCAAAAACAAAATAAAAAAAAAACAATAGGCAGAAAAAATGAGCAATATCCCCAATACAGTTTTGGTTTGGACAATGATAGTTTGTCTAGTTTAGGTCAAATCCTTTTTGGTTCCTACTAATTCTATGGCTTCTCTTCCAAGGATCCTGAGTTGATTTTAAAGACTTAGAAGAACTTCAACCTATTGTGTGTGAAGAGAATCACAGTTGATTTGAAACCGTCTAACTGAATTTTAGAATATTTGATCACTGTCATTGACAGTGGAGACATTTAACCCCGAGGCATGTACTTAAACATATCTGAGCTCAAGCCCAGCTCTATGACGGTTTATAGGAACAAATTGCTCAAACAATGAAATTGATTTTTTTCAGCCATTTTCCCCACCCAAGCATTATTCTAATTAATTGAATCCCTGTAACAACTCTGATGTAGATAATACTATCATCATAATTTTTAGTGACAATACACAGAGTGCCTCAGGAATTAAGGTCATATAAGCAGCAAATAGAAAAGCCAGAAATAGCATAGGAAATTTGGCTAATTAAGGCTATTGTGC